TGTAACAGGCAAAAGGAAACGAGATAGGCACATGGTTCCTTTTGATAATATGCATAGAATCACTTTCTGAGTCGATTTACGCATGTCCGTCTGTCCGTCCGTCTGTCTATCTGTCCATGTGAAATTGTAAGTACAAATACAGTACAGGTAGAATTTATGATCCCAATTGGATTAAATTTAGCACAGGTCACTTATTTGGCCTATTGAAATTGGGAAAAATCGGTTCAGATTTAGATGTAGCTCCCATATAAAATTTCGTCGGATTTAATGTCCCTATATATATATATATATATATATATATATATTCGTCCGATTTTATGTAAATGGTGAACCAAAGTCCTATATATCTTTCGATTTGCACGAAATTTGGCATAGCGTTCTGAATAAAGTCTAGAATGATGTGTGTTAAATTTCGTGAAAATCGCTTCAGATTTAGATATAGCTCCCATATTTATTTTCGTCCAATTTTACACAACATTGACACAAAATTTTGCACAACGTTTTGAAGTTAGTATAACCTAGAAATAAGATATAAATGCCGCACCAAATTCCCTAGGTGGGTCCGGTTGGCACAAAATTTTGCACAACGTACGGAAAATAATAAAACATAAAGTGTGACAAGTTTTGTTGAAATCGGTTCAGATTTAGATATAGCTTATAGATATAGTTTCGTCCGATTTTAAGTAAAAGGTGCACAAAAGACCCAAAGTTAGGCCGTTTGCTACGAAATTTTGCACAACGTACTGAAATTTATATTTCCTAACATTGCCAAGTTTTGTAGGAATCGTTTCCGATTTATATATAGCTCTCATATATAGTTTCTTCCGATTTTAGTTATATGGTACACCATAGACCCAACATTAGGCCGATTGGCACAAAATTATGCACAACGTACTAAAGTTAATATAACCTAGCATGTGGAAAGTTTTGTTGAAATCGGTTCAAATTTGGATAGAGCTACCATATATATTTTCTCCCGATTTTAAATAAATGATGCATCAATAACTCAAAACCTGTGACAAGTTTCGATGACATCGGTTTAGATTTCGATATGGCTTTTATATATATTTTCGTCCGATTTTAAGTAAATGGTACACCAAACTCCTCATGTTTTTCAGACATTTATTCAAATAATCAACGAGTGTCCGATTGATATTTGTTTTAAATTGATTTACACAATTTCATCCCATTGTAAGAAACAACTTTATATCTGACCAAATGAAAAATTACTATAGGTTGCAGAATGACATGTTTATGGATCCAATTTCATTTTACTGGTCCTTAAAAAATGCGACGTCTGTTAGGATTCATCTGTTTAGTATACCCAAAGTGGTGAAGGGTATCATATAGTCGGCCCCGTCCGACTTTACTGCTTTCCTTACTGGTTTTAATCAATAGACCAGTGGAACTGAGGTCAAATATTTTTCTATAGAAAAAATATCTCAGCAGAACTGAGGTCTGTTTATTTTTTAATCATTAGAAAAAAATATTTCTAGCTCGTAACATTTTTCTGTTTCCTCCATTGTAATATTTAGTTGTTGTGCGTTTTATTACAACCGTATAAAGATTGCATATAGCGACGGGGGTCATGTCTTACTCATCTGGGTTATTTCCAAAAGACTTGAGGCACTTAATGTACACACAAAAAACTGTTTTCTTTGGCTCAGTCTCCTCTCTTTTTGTTTGTTACTGTTCATCTTTGCTGTAGGAGGTAATGTCTGTCTCTACGTCTGTCCTTCGCTCTTTGTATGTGAGACTGTAGTCAATGGCACAGCATGATGTCAAATAGGTTATAAAATCGTTTAAGTTTAAACGCTTGGATCAAATGAGATTTACACGTAATTGTGACCGCAAGAAAAATAGTAATGCCACATAACCAAAAACGAAAAAGATGAGTAAAGTATGTTGGACTACTGCACGAATTCAATTTTTCAATAGCATTAACATTTGTGAAAGGATTTGTAAAGTATCCCCTTAAATATATTTTGTTATTATTGTGAGGATATTAAATATTATTTGGTAGCGATAATAACATTAGTTGATACAATGTCTAAAGATATAAAACTGTTCGAAATAATGGATTTTCTTGAATCAAAAATATATGTCATGTTTCCATTGTCCCTTTCCACATTTTCCCGATATTGCCCCGCAAACCTTATACCTATTTCTATATGTACCTAAAATTTTCCTTTAAATTGCAGGTTACTAGAAACAATCGGAGCGCAACTCCTTTAATATGTTACGACTTTTGTACTGTGAGATAAACTGGTGGGGGTGGAAAATTCCTATTGAGGATGAACGATCTTGATGAGTATATAAAAACCCCAGAAGGAAATAATCGACTTAGGCCAAAGTCCGACATTCCGAGATCTTGAAGGTTGAAAATAAATTTGGCAGGACCTTTTTGATATAAGTCATTGTTTTGACATAATAAGGTTCCGTCCCATTGTCGGGATTTTTTAGGACATATTTCAACTAATATGGCTTTAATTATGCATTCCGGGTTCTTGGAGGATGAAAAAATTGTCAGAAAATTATTTATATAGGTTCACCTTTCGACAATAGCATTGAAAACATTCTTGCAGAATATTGTATTAGCCCCCATGGACATAAATAGGCGGCCCGTGTCTCAACACTTATACACTTTTATAGAACTAAGTTAGTTGTCCAATGTGACAATAAAATTTCTGGAAAATGAACAAAATAGTTAAAACATTATAAAATTAAAAAATATAAGAATTTCATATAAAGATTTTAAAGAAATCATAAAGTTTATGAATAAAAATTGTAAGCAGCAAGAGGAAACTGGGGTGGATCTGTGGAAAGCAAAAATTTACGACCATCTAATATTTTCAAATATAAATATTATATATTGTTACAAAATAATTTGTAGTACAGATTATTTTTATATCCTACAACATAGTTGTTGTCAGGGTATAATAGATTTTTACAGCCTCAAGAATTTGTAACACCGCGAAATATTGGTCCTAGACCCAGCCTTAACTAGACTCGAATAACTGAGTCGATCTAGACATGTGTGTCTGTCCGTCTGTCCCTTATAATTTGTATACACATTACAGGCCACAGTTATGGACCAATCGTCACGAAATTTTATATGTAGGATGAGATTTGAACAAAGAAGATCCCTTTTGTTTTTGGTAATGATCCTTTAGTATTTAGGGGGTGAAATGGACCAAAAACTTTATTTTTTTCTGGTCGCTCTAGAGGCCACAATTATAACCCAAACATCACGAAAGTTTTAACAGGAAAAGGAAATGAGATAGACACATGGTTCCTGTTTTGCTGAAGATGCATAGATTCACTTTCAAAGTCGATTTATGTGAACGGGCCCAGACTTATGTGTGAATCATTCATGTTAAATTGTAAACAAAATTGAACAGGTCGCATTTATTATCCGAATTGGATGAAATTTGGCACAGCTCACTTGTTTGGCCCAAGGACGAACTGGTTTTAAATAAAAAAATCCGGCCAGATTTAGATATAGCTCCCATATATATTTTGTCCGATGTTAAGGTAAATGGGGCATATAAGTCACATTGAACATTTTTGACTGATGTTGCACCAAATTTGGTATAGCCTACTGAATTTTTTAGGTCTAGAATGATGTGTGCTAAGTTTTTGAAAATCTCTATTAGATATAGCTCCCATATATAATTTCGAAATATTTCAAAAAGGCAAATAGTGTGCACCAAAGTCCCTATATATCCATCGATTTGCACGAAATTTAGTATAACGCCCCGGAATTGAACCTGGAATTATGTCTGCCAAGTTTTGAGAAAATCGGTCGTCAGATTTAGATATAGCTCCCACATATGTGTTTCGTCCGATTTCATGTAAATGGTGCACCAAAGTCCACTATATATCTTTCGAAATTTGCTACTGAACTGAGCCTAGAGTGATGTCTGGCAAGTTTCGTGAAAATCAGTTGATATTTAGTACAAAATTGAGCATAAAATAACGTACAGACATAGTCCAACGGATGACCTTTCATCCGTTGGACTATGTCGATATTTCAAACAAATATCGATTTACAGGACAGGAAAGGTCACATTGTAACCAAGAATGATATGTATATCCAAGAGGAGTGGTTGACATTTAAATGAATAAATATACATATGTTTATTTGTTCCATATTTCCTGTTAATAGTGCTATATTTAATTTGCCCATTATCACTATAGAAGGGATCTATACCGCTGATCGCTTTGAAATGTTCCATGAGGTTCCATATATGGTCAAGGACAACGCTTATAATTTTTTGATGATCAGATAATAATTTTTGAATGAAGGGCAAACTTAATTTTTTGTGATTTTAGGCCCATGTTTTGACCACAAATAAGGGTTTTCATACAACGCACCCACTGTGATGGGAATTTTTATCTGTGTTGAATAGCGTAATATTCGGAAAATATGTCAGTGTGAGGAAGAGGTTTTTTTTATCTCTAATCCCAAAACCCAGCCAAATAGGAGAAATATTGCCCAGGTTTGTTTTAAACATCCTAGAAAAATTGAGTTCCAATGGTTTGTGTAGTTTTCGACGTAAGTCGGAAAATTTCCTAGCAAAAATTGCAATTGTTTTTTTTTTTGGATTGGGAACACAACTAGTGTTTTTTAATAGCAGGAATATATTTAAAATTCTTGTGAATTATCCCTTTAGCTAACAATTATTAAATCTTCACTGGCCTGATACTAATTTATGTCAATGGTTTGCTGTCATTGACTTCGACATGTACCCCATTTCATAACGATTGTGGTTGTTGTTGTTGCTGCTTGAAACTTGAAATTTTATGAGTTTGTTTTTCTTATGCCGTAACCTAACCGCAAATTGTTGGAATAATAATGACATCGTTGTCATGGTTATTGCCCACCCTGTTGTCATCAGCATCATGTTTTATTTCCTTTCGCTTCTCTTTTCTTGTCTAGGTTTCAGTTTATATCTAATGTTTATCTCTGTTTTCCTATCATGATTTGTTGTACTTACCTGGCAGCAACAGGTGTTATAATCCATAAATATCCACCAGTATTACGTTCCATGGCAGAGGTACAGGGCGTTACCACGGTCCGTCGGTAGGGTGTAAATTCTTCCATGTTGGAGATTGTTGTTGGTAGTTGTGGTGGAACTTGTCTGAAGTCACGTTGCTGGTGGTGAGTTGGCATGGCTGTTGATTGCTGTTGCAATATTTTCTGTTGCTGTTGTTGTAGATGTCTTTGTTGTTGCTGCTGCTGATGCTGTGAAAGACCATTCAATTTACTGAGATTAGTACATGAATTATTCATGCTGGCATTTAGATCACTGGCCACCGACACGGTACGTGCATTCACACTTATATGGGTTAGGCCGGGATTGGCGTTGCCATGGTCGATGGCTGGAAACCCTGTCGATGGTATACTACCGGAAATTGTATTTATAACACCCATCATTTTATTCTCATTAGTGGCGTCGAGAGTATTGCTTTTATTCTCCGAGGTATTTTTGTTGCCAGAGCCCACAGTTGTCGATGTTGTTGCAATATTTGTATTGCTGTTGCCAATTGAATTTTGTTTGTTGTTCGAATTCAAAGAATTATTATGATTCTGATGTTGTTGCTGTCGAGCATAGATGTCACCGCCATTCGTTGCCACCGAGTGCAGTGACAAAGACGATTGCGAAATATTAATGGGATTCCTTGGCAATGTGGCATAGGGTGAATGCTGATACAATTGTGACGTGCCCAGTAGACCACTACCAACGGATGGTTTCTCTATCGAAGCATGTGCCGTATGTTTGTATTGTTGTTGCTGCAGACGTTGTTGTTGTTGGGAATCATCGTTTGGTTTAGTTGCAGCAGCAAATGTTTTCAATAGACTTGATGAAGATGTTGATAATAACGCCGACGAAGATAATGTCGTTGTTGCCGGTGTCCCAGCCACTGAAATTGTGGCATGATTTGAAACGGCTGCTGCTGTCGATGATGTTGATGATGCTGTTATTACTGCCGTCGAGGAATGCTGACTGGATTTAACTAATGGCTGCTGGTGACCACTAATATTGCCATTTTGTTGCTGCTGTTGTTTTTGTTTGTGTTGCCTTAACTGGCTTGTGGAAAAATTAGCATTTGCCGTTTTTATATCACCGTTGCCATTGGCACCGACTACAGTCGCTGGATCTGTGTCAACACTGTGCGAGGATGCCACACGAAAAACATTTGGCACTGAGGGATAATCGCGCATAATTTTCTGTTTATCTTGGCCTCTCCCAGTTGGTCGTCGCCACTGACACTGCCACCACCACCTACACCCTCTGGCTTATAGACTAGACGAGGGAATTTAATAATGAACGTTGGTATAATAAACGACCTATACGTAAAGGCAAACACAAACACACGAGTGCATAAATGGAAAAAGGCAGCGCGATACGGCGTATTTTTAATGGTGAAAAGTAGTTCTGTTTGTTTTTTAACTCCACACACGCGAATTGCAGGAAGGCCAAAAACAAAAACTAGTTTTTAAATTATGTAAAGCGCCTCAAAGTATGCACTAATTTTCAGTTTTTTAAGCAAAGTGCTTCAAAGTATGCACTACTTTTGGGTTTAATTTTTTTTAAGTACCATAATATATTCACGATTTTAATTTTAGTTATTTTTTCTTCGTTAGTTTTTTTTTCCTTTTTGTTGAGTCGAGGGAGGAATATATTTCGTCCGTTCACTTGTCTGATAATCACAACTTTAATATTTTAATGAATATTATTTATATGGTATAGTTTTTTATTTCATTTTAATTTATTTTCATATTGTAAACGTTGTTGTTTTAAAAGAACATCACAAAAGTTCTGAAAATAAGGCAAATATTGGATAAAGCATTTTTAAGGTTAATATTGAAGCACAATGGCTAAGAGTAAGGACTTATTTTAGGCCTAAAGAAGGCATATGAAAATCTTGAATAAAAAGTAAAAATTAATAATCTGAAATAAAAGTGGAAATTAAAAATCCCCATAAGAAATTTGCGGCTATGCCAGTGCAAAATGCTGTCAGGAGACAAAAAATACTGCTAATACTTCAGTCACTCAGGTTGGAAAATTGTGATATGACCTTGAACATACGGAACATGACGAGTAGCCTTTGTATGGGGCACATGTAGAAACAAAAACATATAAGTTTTTTATTTACAACTTCGATTGGAATTTGGGCCTAGGAACATAAATAACCTATAAAATGGCTGGGGTATAAACCAAGATCTACCCAATAAATATCAAATCAAAGCCAACTCGGTTTAAAAATATATCTTATATTCTCAAATATCGGAAAGTAGGTGGTACCATACACATGTCATTCTTGAATCTTTACCTAAAATCGGACGAAAATATATACGGGGGATATATCTAAGTCTGGACCGATTTTCAGGAAACTTTACACACATCATTCTAGAATTAATTCAATATGCTTTGTAAAATTTCGTGCAAATCAAAACAAATCGAAAGATATATATGGACCTTGGTGCACCATTTACATTAAATCGGACGAAAATATATATGAGAGCTAAATCTAAATCTGAACCGATTTCCACGAAACTTAACACACATTGTTTTACACTTAATTCAGTTCGCTATGCCACATTTCGTGCGAATCGAAAGATATAAAGGGACTTTGTTACAGCATTTATTGAAATGGGAAGAAAAAATATATATAAATCTGAAATTGATTTTCAACAATTTCAATAGGGTTCGTCCCTGGGTCAAATAAATGAGCTTCATCCAAATTGGATGATAAATGCGACCTCTACTTTGTTTACAATTTAACATCAACAGACGGATAGACCTGCAAAATTAGACTCAGAAAGTGATTCTATGCATATTCTCAAAATCGATTTCTTTTGCCTGTTACAAACACATGCGCAACCAGTAAGGAAAGTAGTAAAATCGGACGGGGCCGACTATATGATACCCTTCACCACTATGGGTATATTAAACAGGACTATTATCATGAAATTGTACGAAATAAAATATGTGATATTTATCTTAATGTGAAACGACCTAGATCTATCCATTCAAAACGCTATGCAACATAAGAACTTGGTGCATTATTTAGATTAAATCGGACGAAAATATATATATATATATATATATATATCTAGATCTGAATCGATTTTCACGAAACTCAGCACACATCATTCCAGCATCAATTCAGAACGCTATGCCAAATTTTGTGCAAATCGAAGGATACATGTGGTGCACCATTTACATTAAATCGGACGAAAATATATATGGGAGCTATATCTAAGTCTTGGCCGATTTTTACGAAACTTGGCGCACATTATTCTGGATTAAATTCAAAACGCTATTCAACATAAGAACTTGGTACATTATTTAGAGTAAATCGGACGAAAATATATATATCTAGATTTGAATCGATTTTCACGAAACTCAGCACACATCATTCCAGCAGTACGTTATGCCAATTTTCGTGCCAACCGAAAGATATATAGGGACTTTGGTGCACCATTTACATGAAATCGGACGAAACTATATATGGGAGCTATATCTAAATTTGGACCGATTTCCACGAAATTTTGGCAGACATCACTCTAGCCCCAATTCAGTACGTTCTACCGAATTTCGTGCAAATCGAAAGATATATAGGGACTTTGGTACACCATTTACATTAAATCGGACGAAAATATATATGGGAGCTATATCTAAATCTGAACCGATTTTTACCAATTTCAATAGAGTTCGTCCTTGGGCCAAACAAATGAGCTGTGCCAAATTTCATCCAATTCGGATCATAAATGCGACCTGTACTTTGCTCACAAAAATACATGGACAGACAGACGGACGGACGGAAGGACGGAGGGACATGCTTAAATGGACTTAAAAAGTGATTTTCTGCATATTCTCAAAGGGAACCATGGGTCCATCTCGTTTCCTTTTGCCTGTTACAAACATATGCACAAAGACATAATACCCTGTACCACAGTGTGGTGAAGGGTATAAAAACATAATACCCTGTACAACAGTCTAGTGAAGGGTATAAAAAGTGGCTAAGTTAAACTGGACCAAATTTTTTATACCATGATTATATAGTCCAATTAATTCCCCATGGAAAATTTGTAATGTTATGCTTATAATTGTGGCGTCTAGAGCGACTTAATTCATCTTAATAATTTATACACATCAATAAAATTACTATCAAGGTCAATCATTCTACTTTGATATGCTGCCAACATCTCGGTCTATGTTCTTCAGAAATAAATATTATATATTTGCCTTAGAATGAAAATTTTCCCTCATTTCACACAAAAGTCAGGGTCCATTAGTCCCGCTAAATAATGAGTGATATTTATTAAAACAGGCATACCTATTCTTTGGCCTAGTCAATTAGCTGATGTTCGGGTCATAATTGCGGACAGAAAAACGTACAAAAAAAAATAAAGTGTTTGGCCCATTTCATCCCCTACATATTAAAGGATATGGATCTTCTCTATCCAGAACCGGTCCTACAGGCAAACTTTCCTTACAATTGGTCCAAATCTATGGCCTGTTTCGTGTTTACAAATTATAATGGACAGACAGACACACATGTCTATATCGACTCATCTAGTCGAGAAGGTGGATCTAGGTGGGGCCACACAAAGCCATAATACCCTGACAACATGATTATGTAGGGTATAAAAATACTCGTATTGTTTTTATAGCTCTTACCAATTATTCGTCTAATATCGACAATTATACTTCTTATAGTCCTTAAACATATATTAAAAAGTACTCTTCAAAAATTCCCGATTATAGTTCATATAGATATTGACAAAATATTTTTTTTTAAATCACAATACTACATCTTACCAAAGGACTTTAAAAAATCCAGGCTTAAAGATACAGTCGTTGAAAAAATATTCTTCAAAAAATCACACATATATCTCTGCAGTTGTTGCATTTTTTTCAAATCCTTGCATATAGATCTGTAGTCATTGACAAATAATTAAAAAAAATATTAAAAATGTCCTTGAAAAATATTCTTTACAAATCCTAGTTTATAATTTTACGATCCTTGTAAAATAGTCTTCAAAAAATCCAAGCTTACATATCTGTGGTAATTGAAAAAGTATTCTTTAAAATGCACGTTTTAGCTATACGATCATTAATCAATCCACACAATATTCTTTAAAAATCCAATCTTGGTATCTGTCCAAAACTTGGAAGGCGGTTTTAGTCATACAAAAATTCTTATTGTAATTTGAAAAATAGCTTCCCTTAAATGCATCCATCATTATGCATTATTATTAAATTTACATTATTATGCAAACACACACACATACATCATCAGCATGCACACTTCTATAAATATAAAACTCCTACAGTGAATGAATCGCAATTTGCTAGGTATGTAAATAACCCAAGGACATCGTTAACATAATCCCCATAAACTGAATTAATTTCTCATTTCATTTTAATTTAGTGTTTTTTGTTTTGTTGTTGTTCGTTCTTATATCTATTCAGTGTTTTGCATTTGATGCTGCGGGTTTTTATCTTAATTAAATGAAATTAAAATTAAAGTACATCTCCATATGGAAAAATGCACAGAGACAACAGAAACGTAGGGTGGGGAGATTGTTGGAAGTGCCAGTTTTGCTGGAAAATGTAACATGGATATGCATTAGCCCCTGTGGGTCATTAGCATTCGTCCACACAGTGGTTGTCCAATGGCTTTATTTTATTGTTTTATCACCGTATCATTGGGGATATAACAATTTAGTGAGTATGTTCGTACATGTGTCTGTGTGTTTGTGAGTGGTTAACTTGATGTGGTAAAGAATTGGAGCACAGCCAGTAAAGGTGCATTCACTTTTATGGTCTGTTTTTTCTCTCTAAATTACTGACCCACAAATAAAAATCTATTTACTTGTTTGGTAGTGATATTAGGGTTGAATGGAAATGCAGGTTTTTGAAATAAATTGTCGGATAAACATTCAGACATGTAAGAGTGGATTTTATAATATATTTCCTTAAAGACTGAGCGTGTTATTTTAAAGTGTATTTCTTCTAGGACATTTTTGAAATATATTATATCAAGAATTTTAGTGCTTACGCGTTGATTTTTAAATATATTTTATCATGGACTACAAAAGCTCTAAAGGTAAATATATTTTATCATGGACTATAGAATCTCTAAACGTGGATTTTTAAAATACATTTTCCTAAGGACTATCAGCCCTATAAGCGCAAATTCTCGAAATTT